TTCAGGACTCGTCAGACATGCTCGTGTTCACATCTCAGCTGTGATGTTCCTGTGGGACTAAAGCTGTGGATGCGTCTCGCACACCCACCGAGTGTTCTGCCCGTCCGTGTCTTTACTTACACAGTAAATAATGCTCACTAAAGAGCTTCTATAGAAAATGTTAAACCCGCCTTCATCACCGATCCATGTAAATCTGACCTGCTGTGACCCAAAAAATACATTTTAATGTCACCCAGACTTCAGTCACGGCCCCAAACGGACTGCGGTTATGACAGGAATGCTGTTTATCAAGATGATGTCATTCTCAAGAGGAAGCATTCAGCATATGTTTGAAATGTTTCGAGCCTTCACAGCAGGTTAAATACTGGAAATCACTTTTCAGGTGTCGTGCCAAACTAGGTCTCCCCGACAGAATTTGTTTCCCCTGCGTCGGGAGCACACGCTGGACTGTCCAAATCACGGACAAACAGTATCCCACATTGCTGATTTTTCGTTCACAAACACTTATTATGACGCATTACTCCTGAAACTTTGGAGGATTTAGCTCTTTATATAGTAAAGTTACAGGAGAATAAAAATAGTTATCAGCCAAAATGTTAATGGTTTGTTAAAATAATCCCACCTGACACCCGTGAGCAATAAATATATACTTTTCTGTTGTAACCCTCAAACTGAATGGTAATGTAACCATACTAATTTTTCACAAAATGAAAACATCAGCACTTCTTGCGTGCTCCCAGCACAGGGGAAACAAATTCTGTCGGGGATACCTACTTTGGCACAACACCGGGTACACCTGCACAGGTGCTGCTAAGCTCCGTAAAGATGCGCTTTCTTTATATTTTCAGCCGAGGAAAAGAAACCAAACCACACCGCACGTTACCTGTGACACCCGCGCAGGTACAGCAGCTCTCGCAGCTCTTTCCCACCGTGATGGTCTGAGAAATCACGCCCCACACACACCTCAGAGGAAGAAAAGGCAGACTGACCGACTCTGACGGTGAGCATCTCCGACAACGAGGAGTGCCGCCGACCGCCTCTCCTCTCAGCCAATCAGAAGCTCGCAGGTGGGTCAGAGTGCGCGTGAATAAAGGACAGGTGTAACGGTCCCACCTGTTTGACGAAGGAACGAACGGAGCTCACAGCTGTTTGTCTCACAGGCTCCAACCCCACGACGTGCAGGTACAGCTGGAGCCACGCTCCGTGCACTGAGTCTGCGCAGTAACAGAAACAAACTTACCGTAAAACCAGATAAGTAGTGCTGCTGGCGTTACTGAACACAAACCCCCGGGTTTGTATCCCTCCGCCCACCCGTGAAGTTCCAGGACCTCGTTTAGTCAAATATGTGAAAGTATGTGTGGAACAAACCCAGCAGCTCCACGCTGATGCGGCACACAGGTGAGGGGCGTCACACCTGGCTGTTACAGCCCATCTGCTTTTCAGCATAAACTGCGTAACAGCGAAGCGTCTGAAACACGACTTTTAGTCCAAACCTGCAGGTTGCTGCTTCCTGTCCTCACACAGTAAAAACAACACGTTTTAATCAATGCTGATCTTTATTTCCTCCAGGAGACAAACGGCATCTTTTACGTTTTCTATAGAAAA